CACTTGTATTAATCTTAAAAAGCCACCGGTCCATTTTATTTTTTACGTTACTTACTTTTTCTTGAACTCGATCGCACCAACTCTGCTCTAACAGCTGCCTGATAATTAGCTGTGGGACTAATCAGATTGCCCCCTAGTGGATGCCTAAAAAATTGATAGCTCGTCCTCATAATTACTCGAGTGTACGCCTTAGGTTCTCATGCCCCCCTTGACAGGGCGTGCCCCACAGGTTGAAAATCCCTGGAGTAGACCACAATGCCGGCTGTTCTGACTTGCAGACTGTAAGTACGTTTTTCATATTTAAAGGATTTGCCACTGATGATTCAAACGCGAGTTTTGAGCAGTGTAGAGTAGGGCTTGTTGTTTGTCATTTCTCTGATCACAAATGCAGACAGGGTTTTATGTTTACACGGTCCGATGCAACGCAACGCGTAAAAAGACAGTATAAATCATTATAATCCGTAATTATGTCCCCACTGGATGCAACAAATGCCTCGTTTATAATGGGTTTTAATGTTTTTGTCTCTTCGCTCCGGCCGGGACATGGCATCACAATATGGTAAGGGGCGTAACATTTCCGTCACACGCTTGAGGTATTCGGCCAATCACAACGCACTGGATAGCTGGCCAATCAGAGCACACCTCGCTTTTCAGACCGATGAGCTTTGTAAAAATCAACGCGTTTTTTTTGAAAGGCGGGGCATAGAGGAGAAACCATAATGTACAGAATGTGGAAAATAATGTGTTTTTTTTAACCTTAAACCGCATAAACACATTTCATTACACCAAATACACAAAATAATGTTCTTTTTAGCAACATCATATGACCCCTTTAACATTATAAATGTCTTTAACGTCACTTTTGATTACTTTAATGCATCCTTACTGAAAAAAATGTATTCCATCATTTTTTTTTACTGACTGCAAACTTTTGAACACTAGTATATGTTATTCCAAACAGAAAAGTGTCTTTGTCTTCATAATCTTTTATCAAACTTTAATGACTGAAACAACTGAATCTTCTGAAACAACTTTACATTAATTTTTTTTTACAAATTTACATAAGTCACTTGGTCTATTATATTAATGTTAATATTAATTTTAATGTTAATGTTAAACAACAGCAATATAGCTATTTAGGGATTGTTTAGGCTACTCCCCCAGGTAATGCCATTTTTATATAATCTTTGCAAAATATGTTGCAGTAATTTAATGCAAATTAATATAATAAATGTTACAACAATAATGGCAAATAACAGTAGATTTAAAAGATATCGCAAATGCTGTTTCATGTTGAGTTTAAGTTTGGATTCTGTTACTACATTAAGACATTTTTAGAAGGACATTAAAGAGAGCAGCATTAAAAGCAAGGAGTTCATTTTGCTTATGCATAATACATAGAATACATAATACATACATTGTAGATACAATAATGTGTGTTTGAATCTTTAGGTTTGCCCAAGCAAAAGAGGACTTGAAGCAACTAAAGTTACCAGGCTTCCTGTACAGTGAGGTGGCAGATCTGGCGTCCACTGTGCCATATTTCAGCATGGATGAGGATGAAAACTGTGATGAGGGAATACATCTAATAGTGTGCGTACATGGTCTGGATGGTAAGCAGTCACACTCTAGATGTCGGTAAATCCTATATGTAACTATGAGTCCACATTTACAGATTCCGATAGATTTTTCTTATAATTAAAACAATTTCTTTAGGTAACAGTGCAGATCTGCGTCTAGTGAAGACTTATCTGGAGCTCGGTTTGCCTGGAGCTCGAATAGATTTCCTAATGTCAGAACGCAATCAGGTAACCTGCAGAACAGTCCCATGAACAAGCACTGGGTTTGGGCAGTTTCTAGAATTAATGAATTGTATATTATATTATAATTATTTTTTAAATTTGTAAGTACTTTTTAAAAGTATGAAGTATATGTAAAATCACTGATAAAAAAATTCAATAGGCTTGGAAAATCAATTCAAATTTGGTATGTTTTGAAATATTAACCTTATTTAATTTATTTGGTTATTATTCAAGAATGACACATTTGCTGATTTTGAGTCCATGACTGACAGACTTTTGGATGAAATTGTGCAGTACATACAAATCTACAACCTCACAGTTTCCAAGATAAGGTAAGATCTTTCCCTCAAACTCAAATATATGAGAAAGTAAAACTCAGCTGTGGTGTCAAAACACTAGACTAAAAAAAACCCACACACGAATTCACCACAGGGACACGTTTAAATACCTGGGGCTCTTTTTGCCCTGAGCCTTGGTCAGTTTTTGACCCTGGCTCTGTCCTAATACTGTGTGCATCGTGGTTCATTCTGGCCTTATAGGGAGCACACTTGAGCACCATTTTGCACCACAATATGACAAATAACGTGAATTTAAAATGAATTTTACAGACTTGCAAGTGGAGGTTAATCCAAGTGTGCCAGTTTGCACTGGGCCTCTAATTGAATTTTAATTTGACCTTGTTGATAAATCTGAGTTGAAAAATACGAGCTTGTCAAAGCTAAAACGCATCTTGCCTCGGGATGACAGAATTACCATGTTGTCTTTGACAGTTTTGTGGGTCATTCTCTGGGAAATCTGATTGTACGCTCGGTGCTGACGAGGCCCAGGTTTAAGTGTTATCTCAGCAGACTGCACACGTTTCTGTCTCTGTCTGGACCACATCTCGGCACGCTGTACAACAGCTCAGCCCTCGTCAATACCGGTAACCCATCCGCATGAACTCAGCAGTTTCCTGAAGACAGTATGAGCCATTTCTTTTCAACTGTTTTTAGGAACCACTCTCGTTTTTCTCTGCGTCAGGGTTGTGGTTTATGCAGAAGTGGAAGAAATCTGGCTCTCTGCTGCAGCTGACCTGTCGCGACCACTCTGACCCACGCCAGACCTTCCTCTATAAGCTAAGCAAGAAAGCTGGTGAGTGTGACGTTATTTTGATTCCACCAAGCTGATGTTAGTTTGGGTTTCTCCATTTCCAAACCCTCAAACTCTGTTTCAGGTCTTCAGTTCTTTAAGAACGTGGTGCTGGTGGGGTCTCTTCAGGACAGATATGTCCCCTATCACTCTGCTCGAATCGAGATGTGCAAAACGGCCTTAAAGGACAAACAGACTGGTGAGAATTAAAGGAAGAGTTGTTTTAAGACCATCTATTTACCCTCATTCCAAACCCAAATGACTTCTACTAGCATTCAAAAGTTTAGGGTCAGTGAGATTTTTTTTTTTTTTTTTTTTAAGTTAATACTTTTAGCAAGGATCCAGAACTTAGGGACAATGTCCAAGCTTTTAAGATAATTTTACTGCTTCTAACAACATATTTCTCTCCTTTTCCTGGTTCTTTCCCTCTTCATCTTCTTGTGTGATCAGGTCCAGTGTATGCTGAGATGATCGAGAACCTTCTACTTCCTGTGCTTCAGAAGGACTGTAACCTTGTGCGTTACGATGTCATCCATGCGCTGCCCAACACCGCCAACTCCCTGATTGGCCGGGCAGCCCACATCGCCGTCCTGGACTCTGAGATTTTCCTGGAAAAGTTCTTCCTGGTGGCAGGGCTCAAGTTTTTTCAGTAGCCTTGCTAGATCAGAAGCGAATACCTCACTGCAAACGGATGTTTTTCTGGTTATTTTTTCCTCACAGTTTTAAGTATGCTCTTGGAGGTAAAGCAAAATATATCAGTGTTATTTTTGTTGTTTTAGTTTCTATTTAGTCTGTTGTGAATGTGGAACTTATCGTTTTTATTTTTCTACTGCCATTTCTTTTTTATGTTTTTTATTTTTTATTTTAATGGTTTATTCATTATTAAGAAAATCAAACCTCCTTGTGGTATTTTTTTTTCAGTGTTATCTATGTACAACGTAAATTTTTACCATTTTCATTTAACAATTCATTCTATTAAACTATCTTATGCTGAACTGGAAATGTAGCTGCTAAAAAAAGAATGAACTATTTATTCGGGGAGGAAATCCAGGTCGTTTTCATGGTAAAAGCATGTTCACTTGAACGTTTTGGTATCTAGGGTTGGCTTGCATCCGAACTGCATAAAACATATTTTCTATTAAGAAAATGCCATTTGACTACACATTTTTACTATTTTTTTTTATTACAACGTCAAAGGCTTCCTGAACCTAGACGAACGTGATTGTAGCTGAAACGAAGCAGCCTTGGACCGCGTGTTGGTTTTATACGATGTCTCTGGTGCCCATTGCATTCTCATGCACAATCTTGACCCAGCCTGGTGTTGGGTGGAGAAAACGAACGCTTAGCATGTTAGTATTTTTATTTTTTATTTTTACAGGGGATACAGGTAACTAATTAACAATGGGCCGGGTGTGTGGGCTAGATGGTTAGTCAGTTTAAAACAGCACAAATACTAGTAATCGGATCACATAGATGTGGGAGAGTATTTATGTTCGGTTTCCTATGGAGGAATTTGTTGATGCTTGTGTGCAAAAATACTTTAAAGAAGACATTGAAATTATCCTGTTTTTGTTAAAATGGTTTTGTAACATGGACTCCACATTTCATTAAATGTATTCGCAATAAATGTTTTTTCTCTTTCTTTTTTTTTTTTTTTTTAATAGAAACTTTGTTTTCATGGATTACTGTATTCATTTTAAATTAAAGGAATAGTTCCAAAACCTGTGGAAGCCAAGTTCCATAATGGTAGGTAATTACAATCCCCCTTGTAAATTTTTTTTGTCCCATTTTGTAATTTTATGTCTTCCAGTTGTGACTTGATTTCAAGTGATGACTTGTGCGCTTATATCATGAGTTTTTTTTTGAAGTCATACAAAAGCATTGTGTAAGAAACATTAATTCCTTAAGTTAATGTGAACATTAATACAAGATAATGTAATACTTATTATATAACGCACCACTTTTATGATACTTTTATTGTGTTTTTGGTCTGTCTATGAACTGTCCTTGTATGAAAAAGAGTCATTGACACATTTTCTTCTCTAGATGGCACTCTTTACTAGATCTCGGAATGAAAGACATTTTATACTGTTCTGATGCATTTCATTATACCTAGAAGCATTATTTTAGTTTCATTGAGATACTATTATTATTTTTATATATATTATTTTGAATTAGTTTTGAATTGTTATATTTTCAATTTTTAATGTTTTTTTATTAGAATTATATTTTTTATTTTATGATAATTTTGTCTTTTTTTGTTTTGGGGTTTTGTCTATGTCTATATCATTTTTACTAAATATTAATTTAAATTTACTAAATGAAAATGAGAAATGTTGCCTTGGCAACTAGCTGAAATAAGTTCATTTTTATTTTATTTATTCTTTTATTTTACTTTAGTTTTAATTAACTGTAATAACTTAGTTTTTTATTTTGTGATTAACAAGGTAAGATTTAATTGCTACTTGAAACATCATAGTGAATGATCAAATCCTATTTGTTTAGTCTGACTAACAAATTTTTTCATCTTGCATTGAATGATCATGTATAATAGAAATGTTTTCCCCCGTATAGTGTTTTTGCTGCATGTGGCCTCTTGAAACCAGCTGATCTTTGGAATGTGGGGTCACCATGGAAACTTTAAAAGACCTGAATGAAAGCAGCCTGTTGAGCAGCACCACCCCCAGCTCTCCAGACTCCCTCTCCGAGTGCCGGACAGTGATGCGGGATGATGTCATGCGGTCCAGGCAGAGAAAAAGCCAGAGATCGAAGGTCATGTGAATATGATCACAGCAGGGGTCACTGGTTGAAAACAGCACACAGCTATTTTCCTGGGGACCATTAAGAGGCTGAAATTGGCAAGACAGCGGACATCTTTTTGGCACAATGGAAACAGGATAATCCCTTATGGCCTGTCGTGACCCTTAACAGACCCCACAAACACAAACAGCATGGCTCATCTTATTCTGCAGTATGATCAGATGTTCGGGTGGTTAATTGTGGGATGGCGGTGGTCTCCGCTGCCCTGAATTAGTGTAATCTCAGACAGGTTAATGCTGATCTTGATTAGTAATCTGATTATGGATTTAATCTGACCCAGGCAGGTCCAGGTTGCATTGTTATTGCTTAAAGAAGAGGAAACCCTGCTGAAGTGAGGAAAAAAGATTTCTGCACAGTTTTGCACATATGGTGAACAACACGCTGGCACACAGCTGCCCGTTAATTCATGAGCATATACTGCAGCACACTCACCATATTTCACTGGAAAATAATCATAATTTCCACTAAAATAATGTAGCTACTACATATATTGTTGCTGTTTTAAAATCATAAACCAATATGGGCTTTCTTTCAATCAATGTAAAGTTTCAGAATAATATTTATGTATTTATTTATTTTGCATGGTCTTTTTCATGGTCTTTTATTTATATATATTTATATGACTGGTAAGAAGGTTTCAGGATCCTTGTCAGCTTGTAACCTTATTACAGTCATAAACATTTTATTAGTTTATGTCAAGACATCTAACAATAACTAATAAGAAGGCTACAAGATCTGTGTTAACTTTTTATTTATATTTTAATTTGTGTATTTATTTGAGAATGCAAGAGGTTTCATGTTCTTTAATGTTATTTCTTTTTTATTATGACGGTGGTGAAAAGAAGGTTTCAGGATCCTTGACAGGTTGTAACTTTTTATTATGGTCATAAAAATTGATTATTTATATGACTATAATAAGAAGCGTACAAAAACAATAATAGTTCGATGATCAACTACGTTTTTAGGCGAAAGCAGTTTTTTCATGGTGAATTTTTGTAGTTCAGCAACGTGTTTTACAAGGCCTGCATGACCAGTAAACAAGCTTGTAGTAAAACCTAGCGTAATTAATGCATTTTACACTTACTCGATTTATACAAAACTTTACTGCATTCTTTCATCACAGCAACAAAATGCAGTGTACAGTTAGACACATTCACACAGACAGACTATTGTTGTATATCAATTTAAAGGAGGGTCATACATATTCATGAATTTAGCGGAGGGGAATTTGTTTATGTAGGTTTTCACCACGGACAGCCAGAGTTTTGCAGATTTCCCTCACTATTTCAGTTTTATTGTGCATTTATTGTTGTCGCTGACAAACGCTACGTATTTAAATAAGTAGTAATGTGTTAGTTAGTGCGGTGTAATGAAACCTCCCCCCTCGCAGAGGTGATTTGGTTCAGTCCGATCTACAGCTCCATCAGTCAGTCAGTCAGTCAGTGAGCGAGCGGGAGCTTGCATGTGTTTATGTGAGTTCTACTAGCCTACAACAGCATCAAAGCTCAAAACAAACGTGCACTCGGCATTTTAATAAGCGGTAAGTGGATTTTTCACCTCTTAAGAGCATTTGTTTGTATTTGAATGTAATGCACTAGTTATAACACTGTGGCGTTAATATGTTCTGGAGCTAGTTATAGTTCAGCAGGTGTACAGAATTATTTTAACTACAGTTATGTAATTATTTTATTTTTTAAGACTTAAAATATCCTTTTAAAAAATCACATTTTGGTTCCTTCATTTATATGGACTCATGTAACTGTTTGTTGTTGTTGTTTTCCTTCTGCAATATTTTTTCAAAGAAACTAATTAATTTATGGTCGTTTTTGCATGTTTTGAGCAATTATTTTCTCTGCATAGTTAAGTTGATTTGACCATTTATTTCCAAATATATATATATATATATATATATATTTACAAATAATAATACAATTATTAAGCATTTTATTCTCTTTACAATTTGTTTTAAACTCATTTGTTGTCATATATTCCACCATTAAGCTTAATCTCTGATCAGTTTTGCATATATTGAGCATTTTTTCTTTGTACAGTCGTTACAGTTGAGCTCATTTTCATTCTATAGATGCCACTTCACTGTTGTTTACAATATAAAACTAGTGCAAAACCTTTGGTTAACTTTTCATTAGTCATTAACAGAATTCAGATTGATATATCTATTCTAAATCTGGAAATTAGGCTGATTTGTGTGTTTTCATGAGTTTTATTGGAACTTCTACAGTTATTTTCCCACCCATGAAGTTGCTCTGCAGGTTGTTTCTTCATACGAATAGTGAGATTATAGTGTATGAGGACGCTAGTACAGACAGTGAGCTGGATTTAATGCACAAGACTACAAAATATGGTTCATAGATGAAAAAAATACAGTCTTTGAACATATTAAACATAGTTGAATTGAACTTTTTGGCTGTGTGAACGGTACAGAAAAGAAAGCGGTTGGAATTGAATTGCGGATATAACAGACTCACCCTTTGACAGGTCTAAACATGAATGCACATTCAACAGACAGGGAGTCATGATGGTTCATGACAAGATGATGAGTGTTTTTTTCACAGCCACAGGTGGGTGGAAAACCGGCTTTTGACTTGTTCTCAGATCTTAGTAGTTGGTAAAGCCTTGTGATTGGCATTGTGCAATAACACAAGGTGCCTTCCTGTAGGAACCTCATTTCGCTTGAAGTGCCTGATTTATGCTTGGATACACCATCATTGGTCTCAATTGTTTCTTAACAAACAAGCTCACCAAGTACCTGTTATCATGAGGCTTATCTGAATCGGTTTTCACTGGAATTGTTCTGTAATTGACAGACACAGTGATGTTTGCATGTCTTCAGACTAGGTGTTAGGATTGTGAGAGAAGAAGGAAAACTCCTTAAGCACATCTGTTGGTGTGGTTGTGCTGAAGATTTGTTCTTGCTTCGAGGCTTGAGTGATCCTCCTTTATCTGTCCTTGCAGAGAAAGTTGCTTTTCCAGTCTGAAGAATGTTAGAATGAGAATGTTAGAAGTTTAATTTACAGTTGTTCTCAGAGAGGCGTGTGTGCCTGAAAGTTTGATTTGTTTTAGAGCGACAATTTTCAACCAAACCAACTAAACATTCAACTCTATAGAAACAGAATTAATCACATCAAAATTAGAGAAAATTCTGTCAGCATTTATTCGCCTACTGTTTGAGTTCCTTTTTTTCCCCCATAGAAAACAAAAAGAGAAATTTTGAAGACTTGTTTTTTGTGGTCTTCTTGCAACTACAGTGAACAATAACTGAAGCTTTCAATCTTGAATGCAAGGATGCAAAATGATTATAAATGAAGCCTAAATGACTTGTTTGCTTTACTGTAAGTCGTACGATATCTTTGTGTGATGGACAGGCAGTTATTCACTAAACTTCATTAGTTAATGGAAGAAGTACCAATTTTGAGTCTGATATGTTCAATTAATCTTTTGAATTTGTTTCATCTGGTTCACAAACCCAATCTGAATGATTCATTCACAAATTGACTGATTTGGTTCTTGAGTTCAGCTCATTGATTCAGTCATTTGATCACAGTGGTTAACAGCTCACTGGAGGGAAAGTTTATCAGTGAATAATGACTTAAAGGAGGCATATGATGTTGCTAAAAAGAACATTATTTTGTGTATTTGGTGTAATTAAATGTGTTTATGTGGTTTAAGGTTCAAAAAACACATTATTTTCCACATACTGTACATACTGTACACTCCTCTATGCCCCGCCTTTCTGAAACGCATCGATTTTTACATCTCAAGTCCCTATATAGTCTACACCCCTAATTATCATTAATTGATGAATTAACTTGGGGGAGTGACGCAAAACTCCCACAGTCTGCCACCAGCAGGTAAGGAGAACACTCAGGTTCGTCACACCTCCCACACCAAAAAGAGGTTCCCTAAAGAACCGACAAAAAAGAATAAATAAAACAAAAGATTAATGCATAAATCACAAAAAAAACATTTTTAAAAATTAAGGCCATTGGTACTCGTCTCTGCAATCCCGTTCCATTTCACTCCTGGATCTCCTGGGCCCTAGGATATCAAAGAGAGACAGAGAGAGGGAAAGGAACCTTTTACACACGTGAGAGAGCATCGGCAATCAAATTATCCTTGCCGCGTATGTGTTTAATCTGTAGATGGAAAGATTGTAGGATAAGACTCCACCTCATGATTCTTTGGTTTTTACCACGCATCCGGTCCAAGAAGGTCAAAGGATTGTGATCAGTATACACTATGATAGGACCACAAATTGAGCTCAAGTAGACCTCAAAATGTTGAACAGCCAACACCAGGGCTAAGGCCTCTTTTTCGATAGTGGAATAGACCTGTTGATGGCGGTTAAACTTTCTAGAAAAATAGCTAACCGGATGTTCAACTCCATCAACATCTTCCTGTAAAAGAACAGCACCGGCACCATAAGCACTGGCATCAACTGCAAGGAGAAAAGACCTCTTAAAATCAGGTGTAACGAGCACAGGTGCATTGGCTACGTTGGCTAAAGCATTATCAAAAGCACACTGGCATTGTTCTGACCACTTAAATGGTTTATTTGGACTCAATGGACTCAACAAAGGAGTAACTACACTCGCAAAATTCTGACAAAACCCTCGATAGTATCCTACCATTCCTAGGAATCTACGGAGTTCACGACGGGTAGCAGGTCTAGGGAATTTACCAATAGCATCGACTTTAGCATCAATTGGTTTTACACAACCGCGACCAACCACCTTACCCAAATAGGTCACAGTGGCTTTCCCAAACTCGCACTTGGCAAGGTTAATGGTTAAATTGGCTTTAGCAAGACGTACAAAAAGCTCTTTAATTTGGTCAAGATGTTCGGACCAAGAAGAACTAAACAAAACAACATCATCCAAGTAAGCCTCACACCCTGACAACCCAGTCAGTACTCGATTTACCAACCGCTGAAATGTGGCGGGAGCATTTCGGACCCCAAAAGGCATAACCGTGTATTGCAGGAACCTGTCAGGTGTAACAAAAGCAGATAA